GTCCGTGAGTACGTTGGCAAGCATAGATGGCGCGGTCTTCAACAATGTGAGCTTTGTATGGAAGAAACGAACAAGTCCGATAAAATCCGACTGGATATCATCATTTTCTTGAACGTTAAACCCGGTATTTGGCAAAGTTCCTCAGGTGCTTCCACACAGCATTCCAACACCAGACATGCGCTCATAGTAGAATTGAAGTTCTTCAGGGGCTCGGATGAAACAAAAAATTCCCAATCAACCGGTGATCAGATCTCGGCGTACATGCATGACTTCACACACATCGGGCGGAAGTCCAAAGATCCAGACACTCTCATCATTCCATTGGCGTGTATGCTGATCTACAAGGTTCATAGAACATGTCCTCCTGCACCATATGAACAGTTACGTGTGAAGCATCAACTGGTTAATAGAGTCCACTGCTTCTGGTGGTCGAACAAAACCATGTTGATGAACAGGTGGGGCGGTGGTCCAGAAAAGGCAGCGGAGGAGGAGGCACAGCATACTGTACACCAACTGGAAGGTGTCGAATTTGACAGAGTACTTGAAGATGGTGCACCGATACCCGACAACCTTGATTGGAAGAAGGACTCTGCCGATATAAATGGGAAGCATCGCCTCCCAGCGCAAGTTGCATCCGACCGTAGAAGGGATGAACAGAAACTACTCAACGACATCCGCAACGCTCGTGTATTGGCTAACCACGCTGCAGAACAACGTGAAAGACAACGTGCTGAAAAGTTGAAACGTGAGTGGGATGAATCGGACACCGGTCGTGCATACAAAGGTGGTGATCCGTCTCTGGACATTGACATGGACATGGACACACACAAAAAGAAGGTGAACAACGTACGACCCAAGAACCCACTACAAGTGGAAGAACCACACAAGAAATCAAAAATCACGGAACAACGACCCATGAAAACACAATGCAAGAAACAACCCCGCCGTGCTGACAATGATACTTATTATGTCAGTGAAGTCATATTGGAAAAGAATCGAACCCAGAAAGAAATTGACGAATATGATAAAGAAATGGGCTGGGATAGTGGACACAAAGAGGGGTTGTATTACAATGTCAGGTGGGTTGGACAAGGTCCGCTAGACAATGACCCGTGGTGGAAGTCCGAACTGGAAATGAAGGATTCGCCATACCCCTTTGGAATTTACAACTATACAAATGAAATTGTTAGAGCAAATGAACAAATTAAGGGACTGCAGTACATGATAAGAATAGCTAAAAACGATGCTGAATTAACACGTTGGAACGACGGCATATCGTTGTTACAGAAGGAGATTGGAAACCGTCATACTGATATCGCCAGATTGAAAGAAGAATTTAAGACGTGGGTCCTCGACAGTATGGAGGAAAAACGAGCAAACCAAGACCAGCGCAAAAGGGGGCGCAATGAATCGAAACCCCCTTCCCATACAGCACTGGAACAAACCCGGGATGAACGATGCGCAGCAAGGAACGCAAGAAAAGGGGAACTACCGAATTCTCGTGTGTTGCCCAGTGGGATGCGTCCTTCAACCAACCCGCACTCTACCGACCAACGAAATGATGGTCGTGGGAATGGCATGGATGAAGACGACGAGGATATTAAAGACGACGAGGATATTGAAGACGACGAGGACAGTGAAGACGACGGAGGCAGTGGAGACGACTTCGATCCAGCAGATGACAGAAACGGAGACGATGACGAAGAGGATGACGATGATGGCGACGGAGACGACGACCTACCAGGTGGCAGAAACGGAGACGAAGGTGGTGTAGACGGCGACGGCACACTAGGTGCCAGAAACGACGATGAAGGTGGCGGAGACGACGACGACCCACCAAGCGACAGAAACGGTGACGAAAACGGTAATACGCACAACGGTGGTCTCATCGACGTGGCGGGGTGGACGGCTGTATACTTCGGTGTGTATGGTAGTTCATCGGAGAGCTCGTCTCCTACAGGCGCATTGCATAGCGCTTCACCTAGAGAAGTCGAACACATGAAAAAACCCCAGAAACCACCCCCGAAAAAACCCTCGAAACCACCCCCGAAACCACCCGAAGAGGACTGGTCGTCTGATGGAAACGACTCGCACGACGAGGAGATAATACACGTGTCCCAATTCAGAGAGGAGCGTGCAAGGAATGTCATACGACAGATAGGTGAGATCGCTGTCATATTACGACAAAACAAACCCGGTGACCGGCGCAACGAGTTGATAACACGTTATATTCTCGATTGTGTAGACATGGATGCAGACATCATAGGCATGTTCGAGGCAACAGAGGGTGGATGGGACCCTGTTACCCAGTCATTCAGCCCGTGTGTTGATTGGAATGGTATTACACACCAACTGGGAAAACTTCAGCTTCAATGGCATGGGGAGTCCGAGAGAACGCTGGTGCGCCAAGCTGGAGGTGATGGTGATAAGGAGTCTGGTGGCAACAGAATACACACAGACGACATGGAACCCACCGACGACATGGAACCTGCAGATGAACACGGCAACGCTATTGCATACGGGGACGGGGATGACATCACACTTGACGGCATGCAAAGAGATACCCATGAATATATACAGACTGACCTACATGAAGACAATCAGGAATACAATCTGGAATACAAACAGGAAGACAAGCCGGAAGATGAAAACAAAGACACCCCTTCTTTGGTACGTGAAGACGACCACCCAGACGGGACTGCAATCGTCCGGGCTGGAATACCAGACAACCCGATACAAGCACCTAACAACCGGGTTCCAGCCGAAATACCAGACGACAGGGTTCCAGCCGAAATACCAGACAACCAGATACAAGCACCGGGCAGTCGGGTTCCTGCCCGACACCTGCTCAACGCATCACCCGGTAACATACAAGAACCCCAGCCCATGCCGGGCAACGGTAACCAGAGCCAGTATAGCCAGCAAAGCCAGCAAAGCCAGCAGTCGTTTAAGTATGAAAAGAGACCTGCTTCGTACACACGCAACGCCCCACACGCAACTAAACCGCGGCGATTGTACACAGAGTCTACCAAAGTATTCGACGATTCCACCTTTCATGCGACGATAGATTGGTTGAATACACGCCCCCCTCCACCCGAACCGAAAGCGGAAGAACGATACGAGATGAGTGCGGATGAAAACAAGCAGATGGCGGATTTGTTCGAGACGACCGACCGCTCCCATGAACGGAACACCGACCCCCCTTCGCATGTATTTACTCAAGACCCTGACATACGCAGGGCGAACCAAGAGTATCTTACAGACAGGGGTAAGGCGGCAATGGCACACAACGCTCCATACAGAGAAGAACACGAGAAACGACGTGAGATATTATTTATGGCCGGAATTGCTCTAGACGCAGAGGAAAATGGTCGAACCTCTAAATGGAGCACCCAAGCCATCGAACGTGCAGCAGATTTCATCGAAAGAGACAAACAAAAACAAGCCCGCTTCGGTGCAAGTATGAAACGCCTCGACGACAATCGACGGCGTGCAGACGCGCGTAAGAAAACGGGACAATCTACCACACGGTATCCGAACATAGAAGACGCGCGTAATAAAAATGGACAAATACAATATTTCCGTTTGGTCCCAGATTTTGGTCCACGTACCACTTCGGCCGAAGAACGGACAAGAATAGTCCGCGAACGCAATCGCCGGGCATTGCAAGAGGATCTCGACGCAACTGAACAACAGAGAACGATTTACCATAGGAAACCCCCCACAGAGGAAGACAAAATAGAGAACCCCGACGAATTCGACGGGTTGTAGCACTCTGTTGTATATAAAAAGTCTAAAAACACACAACCTAGAATGTCCGACTCGATACTGCAGAAATGGCAAGTTATAGCATCCCCTCTGGTTTTAGACGCTTTCACGGTGCATATGTGGGCCACGCCGTTCACACGCTACCTGTTGAACATCGCAGCAGACCCGAGGTCTGGTTCGCATTTCTTCACAGTGGCCACGGTGCTACTGGTAGCCGCGCTCACATTCACAGTCAGCCGCACCGCTATCAAACACGCCGGGTTGCTACACGAAGCGACAAGTGTATCCGATAGCCCGCTCTTCCGGGTCGCGTGGTTGTTTGCCGCCACCGTAACAGTCGCGCACAGCGTCGGGGCGGGCGTTCCGGTCTTCACGCTCTTAACATTCGTACCGGTTGTGTACGTGCGGGTCCCGTCTGTGATCCCAGCAGTCTCCGCGGTCTACGCAACGGTATACTTTTTATGTACCCTGGTTGGTACGTTGAACCGAGCCGTACCGGTTGTCCCACACGTAAATGGGCAGATAGAACAGGGGGTCTCATATTTTGCAATCGCTTGTGTGTGGTTGTCGTTCGTGTTGAGTTGTGCGCACCACGCCGCATGGATTGCGTCGCATAACCATCCAGACCAACCGGGTGTAGCAGCCAGTTCAAAAAGTGGTGACACAGAGTCCCCGCCCATTTCACCCATACGGTGGCTGTACGAACAGGTGTTCGATGAGTCTGTACAGCTGGCCGCGTATCGTACGGGGGTAGTACTAGCGTGTACCTTTCTCCACGACGCAGGAAGAGAGACGGGTCATGTAGCGTTTCTACAGAAACTGTCGTTGTTGGTAACAATCTCAACGTTTGAGTCGTTTACACACTGCCAGCACGAGGGAACCAATACGCTCACAAGTATCCTGCTCGCTACTGTAGTAGTGGTAACATTCGGCATGTTGGTAGGCAACGTAGAGCAGACGGCTTGCATTCTGCTTGTTACACCAGCTGCAATCGCTTTCGAACTTGCGTCTGTTAGAAGGTTGTCGCGGAAGAGGTTGGAAGAGGGTCGCGGGTCGGTGAAAGAACTGTAAGGTAAAAAACGACCACCGAAGTTCACTCGAAATCCAACACCCCATATACCGGTTTAGAACAGTTCTCTTCAGGGAAATCGGTAATACGATACCACAGTGGCTTCGTGGTCAAGTTGGAGAGTGTTGTATCTCCAGCGCACGAGGTCCTTGGTTCGAACCTCGGGTGTGTAGCTCAACAGGTAGAGCAATTCTCTTATCAAGAATCGGTTGACAGTTCGAGTCTGTCCATGCCTATAGGTTTGGTGTAATTCCGAGACGTCTACTGTTCTTTTTGTCTCCATGTAGCCATACGCACCCAGAACAGGCAGAGACTCATGGGGTGGTCCTATGAGGGCACCGTTTCTTATGAGTGAGGTACGGTACACAGACGACTTGTATAGTGTATGAGGACCTTTATTCTTATTCGCTCTCGTATTTTTCGATGCGCCACATAGCACCCTTCCTAACACCAACCACGTGGTCTCCGACCCCCAAAGGCAGTGGCTCCCTCGGGTCGTGGCGGCAGCCATCTGTGGGTGAAATATGGATGGTACACATTCCCTTATGCGTGCACCAGCGCACATCGACCTCGCAGGACAGCGCAACTGCCTCGAACGTGAGCTGTAGCTTGAAACCCCACCCTGGAAGGAGTGATATCTGTTTCTCCTTCCAGAGTCCTACTACGAGGTTTGCGACGGACACGGTGGGTAGCCTGCCGTTCACACGATCGATGCGCATGATTGCTTCGAAGGGTTCGGATGCGCCCGTCTCGGCGGGTTTACACACCTGCTGGGGTGCACCGTCGTCAGTGGGCAGCGTCCGCCGTCGGAAAACGCGGAACCAAGCTGCAGCGCAGCTCGCCCTGGAAACTGTCCCGTTCCAGCGCAGGGTGGCCCGCCACAGGGCACCACGCTGCACCGCCGGTTTGAAGGGTCACCGCAACACGCTGCGGTACAGCTCGGCGGAAGCAAACTGTAGCGCCCGCCGTGTAAACCGAGACGGAAAAGCCGCGCAGGCGCATGGTGCCAAGGACGGGGATGGGTTCCGTACCAGCTTGTGCAGTGCCCAGTGGGCTTTCTGGCAGTCTGCGGAGCAGTAGAACGTCGCCTGACACTTGCTGCACCGTTTCATGGCATGCGGAGTTTGTGTAAGGTCGCACGGCGGCTTTCCCGGTATGCGATTGGTCTTATAGCAGTGCCCGCAGTGAATAAACATTCCTGACATACAAAACACAGCGCGCCAACGGCGCGCTGTGCCAACTGCGCGCTGTGCCTCTCTTTTCTGCGCGTGTTTTGGGTGTGCGCGGTTTGCAGGGGGGCATTCGCGGTTCCCCGTATACAATTAGCACCAGAAGGTGCAAAGCTTTTCAAAGTGCGAGGAAATCGCCAAATTCGGCCTAGTTTTCGAGTTATGGGACACCCAAATGTCCGTTCAAAAAGTAAAAAAAAAATAACCGACGGATAAGGCATTTTACAGACTGTTTGGGACATACGAAATCCGTCATCGGTTTCAGATTTGGGAATTTGGGGTGTCATTTGGGCACTTTTGGGATCGCTTTTGGCGACTTTTTGTACTAACTTTCTGAAGTTGATCAAATCGCCGTAGGGCTGATAACCCCGACATGTAATCCAAAACCCGATTTTCACAGAAATCCCCCGAGGTCGAAAAATTTCCAGATTTGACACGAGAACTTCTGGGCCCAGAAGTTCTCGAGAACTTCTGGGCCCAGAAGTTCTCGACTTTGGATTTCCCTCATATGAGTTAAATTTTCCTCATATGAGTTAAATTTTCCTCATATGAGTTTCGATTCATATACTACCACTTTGATACCTATATACGTATATATATATATATATATATATATATATATATATATACATTCAATAAACAAGTGTATATTGTTTTTTAGTTAGTATATAGAGGGTAGAGTGGTAGTATATAACCCTATAACTACCTATTATAACATACTACTATCAAC